AAGGACACGATGACGACAGACGTTAACCAGGAGCCGACGCCCGGGAACAGGAGAAGAAGAAGAAACGGTAATAGTAATAACGATAGCAGCGGCGGGGATAAATAACGAAAGAAATGCGAGGAACAACGAGCGAATGAGAACGAGGCACCGCGAACAGCGCGAGCGCTGTTGCATATTCCAGGATCACTTCCTTCTCCCTCGTCTCCGGTCGTCTCTTCACCAGAGGATCGTTCGTCCTCGCGGTATCCGTTTCGAACCAAGGGAAACGAAATAGAAGAAGAAGAAGAAGAAGAAGAAGAAGAAGAAGAAGTAGTAGTAGTAGTAGTAGTAGAAGAATAAAGTGGAGGATAAGAATAAGTCGTAGCAATCGGCGGTTCTTTCTCCGGCGGCGGCTGATGTTGCTGTTGCTGTTGTTCATGCACGGTCTAAGGCGGAGAACTCAATGATGCGGCGGCGGCGGCGGCGGGGCCTCTTCCTCGGAGGGATCCACGGGGCTCGGGGACAGGAACTTGCGCACGTACTTCGGGTAATGCGTCTTCTCGTGGGCCTTGAGTATCGTCGACCTCGAGAAGGTCTTGCCGCACAGCGTGCAACGGAACGGTCGCTCGCCGGTGTGCACCCGGCAATGGTCCTTCATGTGGTGGCGCAGCTTGAACGCTTTGCCGCAGAACTCGCACTTGAACGGCCTGTCGCCGGTGTGTGCCGGTAGGTGGGCGATCAGCGAGCCGACGTCCGGGAACGACTTGCCGCAGAACTTGCAGAGGACCACGCCGGAGGTCGGGTCCGAGTGGGCCGCGAGCTCTAGGTCCATCGGCTCGATCGTACCCGCCGCGGGGTAGTGCGCCTCCGGCGGCAGGTGCATGCCGGTTTCGAGGCCCAGCTGAGCCTGCAGCTGCAGGTGGGCCGCCTGCTCACGGTACTTGAGCGACTCGAGGCTGTGCGAGAGGATGTGCCGCGCCAGCTTGCTCTGGTGGAGGAACGAGGCACCGCAGTACATGCACGCAAACATCCGCTCATCCACACCCATCAACTCCTGCAACCAAACAAACAAGAACATCAACTTCTTGTCTCCCCGAAACCACTTCGTCTTTTCCCGTTACCAACCCCCACAGTCACGTGCTCTCTCATTCTCTCTCTCTCTCTCTCGTTCTCTGCCTCTCTTTCTTTCACTCTTCCTCTCGCTCTCTCTCTCTCTTTATTCCGTAGCATCTACCTAATCGTCTACGCGCGTCTATCTATCGATCTATCTGTCTATCTATCTATCTATTTGTCTATCTACTGTTTGAATCTATGTTCGTACTATCGTCTCCGCAAAATTTATTCTTCGTCTCGTTACAACTTTGAAGTGATCGTTTCAATCAGATTTATTTATTTCTCTTACTCTTTCTCTTTCTCCGTCGTGTCTTATATGAATCACGTCGTCTTTACCGTTCACCGCCGCGACAAATCGCTCGTTTCGACGCTACTCGACTCGGCGTCCACGGACAGGCATACAGTCAGTAAAATAATCTTCCGTACATTATAGTTTCGATCGTTTTAAGCCCACCTAGCGAACGCCAAGGGTATGTAAATGTGGGCGAAGCATGTGTACGTTACATGCTCTTTAGAAATGTACTCGAATCATTTTACAAGAGATACGTATAATGTACGAAGATCTTCACTACATATGTATATCTATGCATATACATATGCAGAGTGTCAAAAGGTACGTACACCTTGAACAATTTGTTCCTTGTAACAATATGAAAATTCGTACATCGTCTGCAAACGCTGGCTCTACTTTCTACCAATTTTTTCGACATAATGGCTCCTCTTCTACGAACATTCAAGGTGTACATGTACTTTTAACAGTAACTGTATGCACGTAACGTGTTTCTCATTTTCTATCGACTTTCCACGTATCTTTCCTTTTACGCATTTTCTCTTTGCTCTCTCAACTACTTGTTCAGCCTTGTGTTTCTCTATCTAAGTTTGGTTTTAAAACTAACAGAATAAAAAAAAAATATTTTGTGAAAAAATATATATATATGTATATATAAACAAAGAAAGAACAGGCAAGGCTTTGTATAATCGCGAGATCACTACTTGTAGGAAGCACGTTTTTGGCCTGTTACCACTCCTTCGTTCTTCCTTCTTCTCTCTACGTTAACTTATCGCGTGAATACTCGGTGGATTAAAAATAAAAAGAGAAGTAGTCCCTGGCCTGACTAGAACATGACTTCGTCTCTCGACGGCATTTTTGGTCTTTTTTTTTTTGTTGTAATTGACGGTAGCACAAGAAGTTGACGCTCATTTTTGTTTGGCACGACGCGCACCCCCAGAGATACCATATGCAGCGAGATTCAAAAGTGAGTAGACAACTTAAAAAGAGTGCGAGGTTCGGTTTCAGTAATTTCCTTAGAAAATGAGATGTTCGTCGATTGACAACATGTGAGTGTATGCAAGAGTATCGTCGAATTGTTCGTGTATTCACTTTTGACTTTCACTGCATGTATATGATAATGTGTGTATGCCTGTGTCTGTGTGTCTGTAAAGGACCGCGTTTTATATATATATACGTATATACACACACGTGTAACACGGTGTCTATATATAGATCTACAGCCAGTTAAAAGGGTCCCCGCACGTTACATTTCCAATCTATTTTTAATCCCACGTAAAACAAGATTGAAATAAACATTAATATTCATCGTGATTAGAGTAAAACTATTTTTCATCCGTCTCTCATTAATATTTATTCCAATCCGATTATTGGACGTGTAATGTATAGGTTTTCACTAACTGTGTAAGGAACGTGTACGTGTCGGTGCGGAGTATAACGGGTGACACACGGCAACCCCCACAGCCTCGCTCAAGAAGAACAACAGCCCACCCCCCGACCCCCTCGTCCCTCCTCCGATATATATATCTTTTTCTCTATCTCTTTGTTTTTTTTTTTCTTTTTTTTGGTATGTAAATCTGCGGCCAGGATGGCCGACGCGGCGTAAAATGAATTCGCCGCTGGCAAAAGACATTGCACTCAATCCAAAAAAGAAAACGACAAATCGAAATACAAATATTACAAAATAACAAATGGTAATAGTATAATGAATGTCAATAATAATTCGTATATATGTATAACGATATATATATATATATGTATATATATATATGTATGTCAATGAGTATTTTTATATATATATATATATGTAAGTTGCATATGATCAATGGTACACGTATCCAACGATGTGTGTATATATATGTGTATACATATATATATATTTTTGTCTTACGTATATATATATATATATATATATATCAATATATATAAAATGTAGTAAAAAACAACCATGGCCAAAAACGAAGGTCAACTTCTTGACAGTGAGCTAGCAAGACAGGCTGGCAGGATGGGACGAATAGGAATATAATTATTACGTGTTGTTACGCGCTCGTTTTTTCATCATTCCTTCGGTCGAATCTTATCTTGGATGGAGAAAGAGACGTCGACTCGTGCCCAAGTTTCAGGATGCGTCGTCACGCAAACCTTCGGTTCGCAAGTTCGCTTCAGCCCCTCGAAGCACTGGGATTCGACACCGGAAGCGGCCACAGGATTGGGAATAGTAAATTGAAGGGAAGATAAAAAAAAAAAAAAAGACGAGAAGTGGAGATTAACGTGTACAAGAGGGAAGTTGCGAAACCTTAACTTCGCTTAATACTTCGCAAAATGGTTTGAAGGGTGTTTCAAATTATTTACTCCGAGCACTCCGGCGTTGATTAATTAAAAGTAACGTGGAAACTTGAGGGGTTGTTCCGAGTCAATTAGACAGTAAATCTTACTTAAACGTCTGGACAATTAATAAGGATTTGGTGCGTGATAAATAAGAAAAAGAAAGAAACCTCCGTCAAGGTGTCTAAATTTAATTTAGAAAAGGGACGAGGACAGGGATGTTGCACGACGTGAACAGACGAGTCAGAGCACAGTATTCCATTGAGCTCATGATTTTCATCTCAGTACTCGTACGACAAAACGAAAATCCCATAGCTTCAAGGGGTGATCGAACGATTATTCTCACTACCGTCGATTAGGACGAACGTCGGTTCTGTTAATGACACGATCACTTTCAAAATTAGCGGGGAGAGCAGCAAACAGCAAAGCACTTTGGGCACGCATGCAAATAGACCCACATGCAAGTGAACTTGTCGAAATATAATGTATATATATATACGTAATATGCCTGTCTATCTATCGCGCGATAGATAGGCAAACAAGATATAATAGATAGATATATATATGTAATATATATATAAATAGATAGATAGATAAAATGGATCGTGTTGAAATGTTGCTCGAGTTTAATCTATTCAAGAAAAGAACTCGTCGTTCACCGACGGCTCTTTGTCGACGTTGCTCGTCGCCAAGTTAAACGAGTAGCGCATTAAACGAACGATTCGTCGTCAGCACACAATACATATTTTGATACTCGTTTCTCTATTATTTTTTTTTTATTTTTGATACTCTTTCTTTTAGCAAGTTCTGCATCAGCTCATCCACAATCCTCAGTGAACCGCAATTACAGTGAGAGTTAAAAGTAAGCACAACCTTCAGGGAAATCTCATTTATGTGAAATACTCTATTTCTTCTCATTCTATTAAGAATTTCTCATACAGGACATAAATTAACGCAAATGAGAAATGATCCAATGGAAGCTACATTCGTAGTAAACTCTTTTCCAGGTGCATGCTTACTTTCGACTGTAACTGCACGTATCTTTAATTTCACGAAATGTTTTAAGAAATGATACGGTTCTATAGAATTTTTGGTAATAACTGATTTAGTTCCGACCGCCACTGATATATGCGATTGCAGATGAGTCGAGCGGCACGCATAGCCAACGATATAACGAACCGTAAATCGATATATAAATGCAGAGTAAAGAGAAAGTACGAGAATAAAAAGTAGTCAATAAATTGGAATATATAGTACAGAGAGAAAGAGTGAGGGGTTCGTGGCTGTAACTCACCGGATCTGGCGGGAGTCTGTAGTCCGTGGATATTTCGCTGCTCGCGCTCCGCTCCTCGGTCGACCTTTCCCAGTCCATTTCTTTTTTTAACGACTGAAAACGAACACGTACACCGTCGACGTCAAAAGTAATAATTGGATAACCCTCGATCGCTGCGTCGCGCAGCCCGAGCCAATAGAATTCGAATTAATTTTTTCGATGATTCGGTCAGAACATGCACAGAACTTTACCTTTGACTTGGCATTTTAATAAATCAACTTATACATTTCCTAATATAAATGAGAACGTACCGAGAGATTCATAAATTGCAAATATTTAATTATAGAAAATACTTTTGTTACATTGTCAAATTTGTAATGTATCAAATCTGACAATCATTTGTACGTGAAGGAGCGATTACAAATTACATCGCACACCGCAGCACAGTATATCAATGTCTACTTTCGCTAATTGAGTAGAACAGATGTATGCGAGAGCATACGTCTGACACGAAACTGTGTATTCTACTGACAAAGGCAAATCCCTGTTATTGCCTCGTAATTCTCTTCTCTATGCATCCGCCAACGTATCTATCATTCTAATCATCAAATTCTAATCTCAACTAACGAAATCAAATTAATTTCATGACTTTGTTATATCAATAATTTATTCATATATTATTTCGAGGAATTGATGCGAATTAAAATAGTAAAGAAATATCAATCTTTTGCTAATCATTTATAAGTGCATCAATCAATATAAATTTGCATGAATGTGCTCGGCAGCGAAGTCTTTGGCTCGTTTCACCGGACGATAGTTAACGATGAGGAATGGTACTTACAAGTGGAACTTGCTGGACCGGTGGTAACCCCGAGGGGCCCGCGAGAGGTTCTGTACTGTGCGGGGACGGAAGCCGGCTTTGCGGTAGGTTCAACGGTAGCACACCGGGCGTGCTGCCGGTGTTGTTGCTCAGGCTCATATCCGACGGTCCACTGTGCACCGAGATCGGGCTAAGGGAACCCCTCGTTTCCTCGAGGCTGGCGGCGTCCTCGGAGTCCCTCCTGGGTCGATCGAGGGCCAGCGGTCCGGGACAAGGGCTACCGGGTCCGGCTGGTGACGCCGGACACTCGGTCATGTCCACCGCCTCCGTGGACTCGCTCACCGCCGGTTGCGCGACGCTTTGGTGCGATTGCTCGCATTCTTTCACCCCTGGCACCGACGACACCCCCGACAACCCACTCGACGAGGGATTCCCTTCCCTCTCTCTGTCCTTATTGCTCGACTCCTTTATGCTTTCCCGTTCACGGTGATGTTCTCGCGACGTCTCGCGCTGTATACCCTCGGAGGATGTGCCCGTGTGTTGCTGCTGCTGCTGCTGCTGCTGCTGCTGTTGTTGTTGCTGCGGCTGCTGCTGCTGCGATGGTTGTTGTTGTTGCTGTTGCTGTTGTTGTTGCTGTTGTTGTTGCTCGTCCCTCGACGCGACCGCCGCGTTTATGTTCGTCATGTCCGCTAAACCCTTCACCTTAAGGCTCTCCGCCGTCTTGAGGAGGGCCGATAGCTGGCAGTACTCGACGTTTACCTCGCCTTTGTACATGAAGTCGACGAGGGTACGTAGCTCGGCGAAACGTACGTCCTTTAGGATGACTATGGGGTGGCGGTTCGGGTGGTCGAGGAACAGGGCCTGGAAGTAGCTGGAGCACGCGGAGAGGACTACCTTGTGGGCACGTATCGACGGTCCCTCCGTGCACGCCAGTGTCACGTCCACCAGCGACTCCGACTCCAGCAGTTGACTGAACACACCCAGCAAGTTGCTCTGATGATTGTTCCACCTCAGGCAGTAATGCTCACTTCCCATGTCTGAACTGCACCCCGCAACCCTGCTGCAGAACAAACATTTGTACCCGGGACGTCCGACCACTCCCGACACATTCCTCTCCACCCGGTTTTTCCTCCCGTGTTTCTCGTTTCTATTCCACTTCCGTTTCCTCGCTTTCCCCTTTCTCTTTTCTCATTTCCCGTCTTTAACGGTTCTCGCCTTTCATCGTCGCCCGCTGCTGCGTCGCTTCGAGTTTCCCGGGGTTAGTCGCCGCCTCCCGCGCTCGAATTCGAAACCGAGAGACTCGCCGGACGAGAGCCGAGCTTAACGTGTCACCGGAAACGCGAGCTGGGCGATCGGTGCAATTCAACAAACTTACCGTTGATCAACGCCCGCTTTTCGTTCTACTATATATAAGATGACTCAAGCGACTTATTTAATTTATTCGTGGTTAAAATATTTACGTGGCCATTCAGACTGATCCGATTACAAATGGGAACTAAATGAGGAACGTCAATCGTAAGACGATGTACTTCGTAATAAAGATTACTACGAGACTATCAAGGGTAGTTGACCATCGTAAAAAGGACAGCGGATTACATGTTGAAGTACTACGACCCTAATCCCACGTGTAACAAAAAAAAACCCGTTACTCTCCTGTTTATTATTACGATTCTGTTTCCGTGTATTATCACGCGGGACGATATCACGGTTCCAGGAGGATCACGCGAGCATCGCGCGGTTCCACCGCACGCCATCGCCTATCCGCGGATACATCACGCGAACACGCGCGTTTCATACCGCGGATAATTATTACGTACACGTATGTCTATACGTTTTTCCCAAGAGGCACTTCTAGATTTATTGTCAATTAAAAATGTGGACTCTGTCGGAAAAACTTGAAAGTGTTTAGATGAAATACAATTTGCAGTATTAAAACCTGAAGATACGTTTCGACGCGTTACATGAAGTCATTTGATCAATTGATTTTTGAAGCGTCCTAATGAGCATTGACAATTATAATTATGGGACGGTGCGTGTTTAATGTTTACTCATGTGCGTTTCGTCCCACGGTTTGGAAACACGGACAGCGATTGCGATAAATCACGATTTTCTCTAGGCTGGAAGGCAAAAAAAAAAGCATCGTCGGGGACGTCTAAATTGGAATTCCTTGTCCGCTATCGCAATTTCCTGAAGCATAAATCAGCGAGCCCGCGGAAGCGCGAGCCCGGGACGGCACGTTCGGCGGCGAATCACATAGGCCAGGCGATTTATTCACGCGTTTCTTAGTTAACCTACCCGTGGCCATACTTTAATTCCCGCGGAGCATGCATGATCGATAGCAGCTGACGATACCCGCGTCGCTTCTCATTCATTATTCTTAAGGGCTCGCTGATCAGCTATCAAGTAACGTTAAGACGGAGTAAATGCCACTTTTAAACGATATCAATGAGCCAATTATCGGTGCCATCGATTATATATCAGCATTACAAATGTGCAAAATTTCTTAAATCAAAACCCGATATCATTTATAATGCAATTTTTATTATCGCATTATTATGTTACAAAGAATTGCGAGCGTTCTCATAGACATTTTGCAAAAATAACTGGAGACTAGTTTTACGGAGTCCTATTGAAGGGAACGAGCAGGATATTCGTCGCGTGCTGCGGAAACATCAGCGCATTTTAATTAACGTTCGCAGTTAAATTCGCGTTAGATTTGCGACGCGACGCGACGCCGCGCCGCTTGTTCACGAACTTTAGACGCGTGAACTTCGCCAAGGAATTGCTTACACGCGCGCTGAGCGTCACGGAAAAAGAATGATGACGTCGCTGATTCGGGCACGACCGACGCTTTAGGGATAATGGAGGCGCGACAAAATTCAGGGGTTCCTATATAATGTCTATCTATTTGAATCCTGTGCAGTTGTCTCAGATAACATCCGTGGTAATTGTAAAATATTTGTTATGGCAGATTAGAATAATAAAATTAAATACTGATACATGAATCAAATTGTAAGATTACATCGAGTTACATACGATCGTATAAAAATAGCGAAATAGTATGATTATATTGATCATGCTGGTCTATAACCGGCGCACTGGAAACCTTCGAAGTTGCTCTGATTGCACGGCAATGGCATCGTCATTTTCCGTGGGATCATTGTTCAAATTCCGTCGACGAGATGCAGACAATTAAGTAAACACGAATTTGATGAAAATTCTAATGAAAAACAAACGAATATTGTTGCTGCACAAATCTTATACTTTTTACAATCAATTTTATTTATATAATTCATAATTAGAAGTACGCACGAACAGTTACGTAGTGACAACGCAGGAAGACGGCATGATAAAACTGTATGTCCTTAAATCACTAGACAATTCTTTATAGATTACATCGCCTGTACCCTTCAACAGCTCAGGGGTCCATTTTGTTCCCTCACGCGATGACTTCCATAGATCCGATCTTCGTAATGAGTCGAAAATACGAATTTCAAAGCCCGACATCCAAATTATATTATCCTTTACAAGTGTCTGTCCCCCGATGCATTTTTACGTTATTGTACGATCCGAATTCCTACCCCAAGTAATATTTGTGAAAACTGCGAGGAAGTATTTTAAGACCTTGAGCAACCGAATCCTCGACATACTTCTCTGATATACATTTCAAACTCCTTCACGATTGTAACACACATGTGACGAGACTAATTGCACTCCCTTTCCACCGAAGATGCCAAAAGTACGCCTCAAGCATCTGCCAAATCCTTAGTTTTTAAGTTAGCGAGCAAACGTCGCAGCCTAAACATCGATCTGTAAAAAGCTAAGGACTAAAATAAATACTTTAAAATCGAACTATCCTTTCGGGAGTGTGTCGTACATGTATCCGTGCACACTCGACTCCCACAATGAATATCATGAAGCGACTGATTGAAAGATAACGAAGGAGCGTTCTGATCTATGAACTGTCAGTCCGCATTCCTCCACTTGAACTATTTACCCCTGGCATTGCGCGCTCAAAAGAATATAAAGGCTTATGAAACGTTAAGTAGCAGAAGTCGCGTTTGCTAAGCACACCGTCGTTCTATACACACGGATACGCATCCGTCGGAACTTGCAAACTCTAAATTACACAAGTGCCCCAGATAATAGATCCTACGCTCGACAATATTTATACCTGGCAAACTTTTCGACTATACCGTGTTTAGAGCTAACCTGTATATATGGTTTTCTTCGCCAACTATGATAAGATCCACATTGCACCTTTTAAATACAAATACCTATAGAAAATCGAATAATCTCTTTAATGCCAAATTAATACCTGAATTATAAAGATTTCGTTTAAATCTAATAATATTTTTTAACATCAAAAGAAACTGAAAATAATGTAATATAATAAACTACTAAAAATAATAATATAATAAAATAAAATAAACTACTTTCGAATCAATTTCGCGAATCCATCTTGAACATCGGTAGAAGCGTGCGTGCTGTGCCTACGGCATTTATGTCATTTCAGAGGTTTTCTCTGGGTCAATCCGTTTAGGAACACGCATGCACGCCGCGACCGCGCCGCTGGCTCGGTCGCACGCGTGTCTACGACGCGGCGCTGTGACTAAAACCGTGGCAATCGGTTTAATGTTAAACAGTTCGCCGGGCGAGAGCTACGCAATTAGATTACGCGCGTGCGATAAACGGTGCCTCTTCCTGCTGTACGCTTGCTCCGCTTTCACGAGGAGAGCCTCGCTGAAGCCACGCGATCGGCTCGTCAACGCCGCTCGATGACGCCTCGCGTATCGCCGCGGGTGTTCCTCCGGCTTATGATCACCGATGTTCGGTTAAGCCCCGCGTATGCCGTTCTACAGTCTCGGTAATTCAAGTGTTCAACAGCCGAGTCCTGTTATTTGTACCGAACCTTTCATATTCCAAAGGCCAAGTTCCATGAGAATTTTTAGTTTCAGTATAAACAATCTTATTAGATTCAGATTCATTTGAATACGAAAAAGATTTCCTATTTATAAATCATATCTAACATGATTAAATGCTCTCGAATTGCAATGATTATAATGTTAATCGATGCTAACATTAATATAAATAGCGAAATATAAATGATACACGGTATCGCGGTGGTGCTAATCGCTGCTATAACATCCGGCGATTTGGCGTAATATTAGGAATAAAATCGGACGAGACATAACTGCATTTTATAATAGCGAATGAGAAGATATTATCATTGAAACGGAAAATCCAGGAAGATAACGACGGACAGTATATCCGATTTTCGGTAGAAATAACGGAATTTAAAGAGCATTAATTCTTTAAGTCAGCTGCTGTCGTCTTTTGCATAATGACGGAACAACTGTTGTTCAGTACGCAAATTATAGTAACGTGCGTTAAACGCCGAGGCGAACGAGATAGGGCCGAAGGAATGACGTGTTAATTGAAAGGTATCTGAAAATGTGCACATTACTTGCACACGTGGATGGCACGTAATTGATCTCACATGCGAATTTCAAATTTGCGAAACGCGTCGGACGTACGTGCCTAATTACGAGCGGCCAACGATAAAACGACGGCTAGGCAAGTTATATTTAAGTATTATCTCCGGAGGCGTGCATTATTATAAACATTAACCATTATATAATTCGTTAGAGTGCGTCTCTGCGGTTTACACGTGCGACCACGCGACGCGATAACGGTTTCCCTGGCAATAAGTTAAGCCAGATCAAGTAATACGTACGAGCTCGAACATGAAACTAATCAAAATCATGTAGCACAAGGAAAAGCAGATAGCGTACTGACGCATTACAGGAAAATGCTTCGAGTCTGCATTTTTGCACGAATTTTGTCACGCACGGGGTAGGTGTGAATTTCGCAGAATTACATTTGAATGAAAAGTTAAATGGGAACAGTTATAAAAATAACAATAAACTGCGAGCGTTCCGAACGTAGAGTGAAACATTTTTCGCGATCGTGCGATATGAAAAGGGGCGGGCAATTAAGCCACGGGTTTAACTTTTTTCGGTGGCGTATGAAAAGCCGTGCGTATACGATTTTCAAACA